TTTAATTTGCTTACTTCTCCTGCTTAAAAATACAAAAGCAAAACACAGGAAACCTCTACACTAAATTTTAAACTCACAGTTTTCTATTGAGTAGAAATAAATTTTTGGTTTGAGAGGGCAATATGGGAATGTGTAATTTCATTTTGGTTTTTGTTTGTTTATTTAAAAGGATTTGGATACTTCCTAGTCCTCTGTAGATGCTGCAGCAAAATTGATACACATGAAAGGTAAATTTAAATGAAATGTGAATCACTAGGAACAATGAAGATAGTGCTTTCTGTGCTAGCTCTGCTTCTTGAAAGAAGGTAGAGCCACCTACCATGAAATGGAACCATTTTCAAAGTTTCTTTTCAGATGAGTAAAAATTTTCTTTCACATCCTATCCATGAATGCAGTACTGCTCTTGTATGTTCATCATCAATCTCTGAAAGCTTGTGGAGAATTGAAATTAGCTCAAGAACTTTCCTGTTGGGCAGAAAAGATTTTGTGGTAGATGTCAGCTGCTTCTGCTACTTGCAATAGCTTGAATTACTGTGGCTCTGGGTACTGGGTCAGTAATTATCTTTGACTTGCAGACTGCTTCCAAGTTCTTCAAAATCTTGTTGAGAAGGGGAGTGAGACTGCATAGTTCTAAAACTTTGGGTGATATTTTGTCCCTGGAATGCTTTTTTTGTTTGTTTGAACAGAACTGCATTGGAGTGATTTTAGAAGTGCGTATCAATTAAGCAGCACGCTTCAAAGCACCCCAGTTTTCTTCTTTGGGAAGAGAAAGCTGGAGGCCCAGTACAGTTTTGCACAGGAAAATCTGGTTCTCTTCAATCTCCTCTGCTTTTACAGAGGATAAGCATTCTAGCTCAGTCCTGCCTCGAAAGAAAAGCCATGCTGTGTTTTGAGGGTTGCACTCATCTGACAGTCCTCATTCCAATTTAAGATTTTCGGCACCATTGCTTATACCGTGTAGGCATGGTTTTTTCCATGTCTATGTGAACTTGAACGCGGCGCTTGGTTTACTCTTAAATATCTTAACTCGTATGCATTGGGAGCTGTTGAGAGCTCCGAACTCTTTTCCTTTTGGCATTCTCTGTTGTAGGGAACAGCTCAATATAGTAATTTATGTTGTGGTCTGAAGAAGCACAGGTGATCCCTGTGAGCCAGGCATTGTGTTAAAACCCCAAAATATCCGATGTCATTTGTCCATGCAAAAGCCTGCTTCTGTTCCATAGGTGGAGAGGAACAAAGCGGTTTTTTGCATATCCTTTTTCAAAAAACCACACAACAGGATGTTAAAAATGCCTATCTTAATTCTGTTAAAACAACAAAAACCTCAAGTAGTCCAATAAACAATAGTTGTAGATGGTCTTATTTGGTATCTGTTCTTTATCTCAGCTGTCCCCCTTATTCTGTGGGATATTACTGGACCTACTGGAGGGCTCAGGCAGTAAATGAAGGTTCCTGAAGTCTATAGTGTTGTGCCTTGCAGCGCACTGTCTTTTTCTACATCCCTCCCTCCCCAACCCTTTTAAGGGGACTTTTAAGTTAGTGAAATAATTTAACACTTATTTTAAATAGTCTATTGCATATGGTAAAATACATAATTACTCCTGGTACTACAGGTCTTTTTTTAATAAAGTTAAGATTTGTAAAATCCAATAGATCATGTGTGATTTCATTCAAAATACTTTATAAAACATGGATGTTGTTTTTGGTTTTTTCTTGAGATAATTGGTAATCCTTTGCCAATGTACTATGTGTTGTGATTTTTTTTCTTCTTTGCTCAAAGGTTCAAGACAGTAGGCTCAAGTATATTGGGCAAAAATTATCATCAATACTGGAAGCTGAGTGAGAGGTTAAGTTCAGATGTAGGATGATTCATGTTGCCACATGTAAAGGCCATAAGGGAGAACTACCATTTTGTTCCACAGTCCTGAAATATGTTCTCTCTAGTTCTGTGAAAACTCCTGGCTTTTCACTTTGGATGTATAAGGTGTATTTATCTTCACAGAAATGAGTGTGGATATGTGGTTCCTGTACAAGCGCAGCCTGTGATCTACCGGTATTTATGAAGAACACATGTACAGGAAAATGACTCTTAAGTACAAGTCATAAATTGAAATGATTATAGAATATATGTGGACAAATATACCATGTGTGGTATCGGCAGACTGTAATTTCATCAAGTGTTTTTTCAGACTTCATAAACTATGAATGAAGGATGATTGTATTGGCCTTGTAACAGGTAAAATAAAATACAGCGCCTGGCTACTTCAAAGCACTCATAATTCTATAGCTGGAAATAGCCTTTTGGGATACTATTAAGTCTTAAAACCCGCCCATGATTAAAAAAATATATTTCAGTGAAAATCGTATGTTCACAAACCCTGGGAAACGTTTTGAGTATCCACCTCGTGAATTTTTACAATTCCCAGCTTTCCGGGTGTAAACACGCCTGCGAGCTACTCTTGGCAAAAAGGAGAGAAAAAGCCTAGGTTTGACTTGAGAGCTTCCTCACCTCTCCAATGATGTTGTTGTGTACCACGTTGTGGTTGGTTTTTTGGGGGGAGGAGGCTGGGGACTGTGCCTTTGTTGGCTGGTGGGGCCGGCCAGGCCGTGGCCCTGGAAGCAGCGATGGCGGCCATGGCAGGGCCTGGCCTCCTGCGCAAGCCCTGCTGCTCGCTGCTGTTGCGGTGACCTCTGCCCTTTCGTATCCTGTGACACCCGGCTTGTCTTTGTGCTCAAGTTTATCCATGATGGATACATTTCCCTCCCAATCGCATATGCCGGGAGCCCGGCAGAGCGAACAGATAAATTATTTTCAGCTGCGGGCCTGGGCTGGGGGAGGAGGAGGCGCGCTGGAGCGGGGCCCCTCCACAGCCAGCCGGACAGGGTGCAGCCTCACCACCCCCCTCCCCCTCGGAATATGAAAGGGGATGACTCTCGGCCTCTCAGATCCTTTTTAAATGCAAAAGAATGTAGGAAATTGCTAGATCAGTTGGTTAATCAGTGACAACTGCAGTAGGTGCACAAAAAGCACGGCCCTTAACAAGAGTAATCAGTTGTGCGAGGTGTTTTTTCAGCGCCTCAGCGGGTCATCGCTGGCCCCCACCTCTCGAGTCCCTGGGCCGGTTTAGTGTCAGCTTTATAAGAGAACGTAATTGCTGGGAGATTTCTTGGTGACTGATGGCAGCGATGTAAGTCTTTTCCCCCTGACGCTACCACCGCCTCCCCCTCCCCGGCCGTGCCTCGGCTTTTTGTTCCCCCTCAGGGCTGTGCCCATCTAGGGTGACACGGGCCGAGCTTTCTCATCTTCCAGCCCCATCCAGGCTTACATTAAACGTGTTGCTGTGCCCTCTCAGTGGAGGTATTTGCAAGGTAACACTGCTATCAATTTTTTATTTTTTAAAGAGCGTTCCTGAAATGTTTTTTTGTGACTGCAATTGTTTCTCTTGCTTATCTGGGACTATTTTTAGATAAACCGCCACCATCTCCTTTTCCTCCACCTCACATCTGTATTTTAAACTTCTGCTGGGAGAGAGGGTGGTCGTATGACCAAAAAAGGCCTCTTAAAATTCCAGGCTACAGAACATTCAACCTGAAGTGTTTCTGGCTCAGGCTTGTCCCCTCCCCTCACGCCCCATGTTTGTAACATACTTAAACATAAAAACCATTTATTTATTTATTTATTTATTTCCTTTGGTTACCTCATTAAAACCCTCCCAGTACGTACTTATAATAAACGGCTATAAACTTGCCCCTTTTTCTTCTGGACTGGAAATTAAAAGACATGATGATGTTTTTTGTTTAATGCCATAGGTGCTTGACTTTAAAATTAGCAGTGCCCCACGTTAGGAAAAGAGTTGCAGTCCAACTGGTACGATGAACTCCTGTGGTCATTCACAGTGGGAGCATATGATGTAACAGTGAGGCTTGGTGGGTTTGCATCAGAGCACTGCTGTTGTGGTCTGGCATTGGAGGTCCTGTGAACTTGAATGACGTAGGATATTGTTTCCAAATGTGTGGCACAGGCTGAACTCTAGCTGGTCATTCCTGCATCAGCTGCTTGACAGCAACAAGCTGCCAAATATTCGAAGGCTGTTGTGCCCTCAGTTGCCTCTGTAAAAGCCGATTCTTTGCCAAAGTACATCGTGCATTAAGGAAATAAAATACAATCTGGCTTCTGATTAACTGTGGTATGGGAAATGTACGATTTCATGGATTTCTTGCCCAAAAGATGTTATTGAACAGCATTCATGATATTTAGGTGACTGCACTTATGCAAAAACTGTGACTTCTAAGGAAAAGCATGTGAATTTTCCCTCCCCTCCACCTCCTCCACCCCCCCCTCATTTCTTCTCCCGGATACCGATTGCCTTAAATTTGCCAGTCTGTTTCTGTAAAGATGTGTTTTTGTAAAGAACTAACTGAACTTTACTAAGATAGATGTGAAATTAAACTTTTCATGAATGTTTATACTGTATTTGCTGCCCCTTCCCACTGAAGGCAGAATATTCCTAAAGCGCGAGGTCATTCTTTTCGCCCTTGCAAGTCATGTCTCCTTTTCCCAGGGTGAGGGAGGGATAAAATTCCTGCTATCCTGTGACCTGTTATGAACTACAGGGACTTAATTTTTAACACAGCTATATTGTGTGAAATGTATACTAGGAAACAGTTCTACATGAAGAGGGGGAAAAAATTGCCTTCAGGCATTCAGATAAGCAAATTTTGGAAGTTACCGTCAGAAATCATGTTGCAATCACGTTACAGATCGTCTTCTATTTTGGCTAATCTATATGCAGGGGGAACATACCGTGCATGAAGAGTTGTCTGTGACAGCACTGAGAACCGAGCATTAAACACACAAGAGACTAGGCGTGCTTCCCACGGATGCGGTCAGGCACTTGCATAACTGCCTTGGCATCAGCGACACTGTTTGCTCAGTAGGTACATGAGCTGAAAGGTAGAAGTCTGATCAGCCATCTTCCCCGATTTGAATGTCTTGGCCTGACTTTTTCTACACTGTCAGGGTGTTACATGTGTTTACGGAGTTTTTGGTGAATGTTTTCCTCAACTTTGCTCATAAGATAAGAATGTGACTTTAATTGCTGTCATTTGTGTCATCTGCTTCCATGTGGCAAATGCTTAAATTACTACCCCTAACAGCCAGTAGGAGCTTAGCAGTTTTGAAAAGCAGTTTAAATACGTAATGTTTAAATGCAGATTTAGTAGCCTGATGTTTAATCCTATGTTTTGAGGCTCCAGTCTCAAAATGACCTTTGGCACGCCTTTGTGTTTTAGTGTGAGAGGTTGTCTTAGTCTGATTCTTCAAAATAGCACAGTATTTGTAATTTTTATTGTATTGTGTTGTAGCTGCATAGTTCCACTATATGAGTAACTGATTTATGTGTGTCTGGCAAGTACTTAAGAGTTTTGTCCGAGATATCAACTGATAGCAGCAAAAATATCAACTCTGCATGACACATCTCACTTCAAAGCTTGAACCTGTCAATATTAGCTGCCTTCTCACATTCTGTTTGTTCAGTCTACTTAGTGTATGGCCATCAAGAAATGCTGCCAAATTCCTAGTATAAAAGGACCAATAGCTGAATTGAGGAACTTGTTGATTTGCAACAAGTACTTCTGAACGGCAGAATGTCTTAACTGTTTGGATCTGCTGCTTCAGAAGCAAGACTAATGAAGTTCAGGTTTTTGTGTTTGCAGCCCTAGATCGGGTTATACGTATGCAGCAGCCAGTTTAGTTCCACTCATAAAAGTGGGAAGCTGAGTCCATGTAACTCTGAAATACTAAGTTGAGCAATGGTTAACTACTACTTCAAATTTGAGATCTAGCTGTTTAGGAGTGGAATGTTGCAGGCTGGAGTAAATGTAAGCTTTGTCTGTTGAGACAACAGGGTTGTTAAGCAATTGACTGTGTCCTGATAGTTGGGATCATATCATTGCTTTCAACAGAAATGGGCTGTCTGGGCAGCCTTAAGGAAACATACTCGTTTACTCTTCGGTCTTATTAGTGCAATCTTTTATGTTCAGGAACAGCAGAGCTACAGAATTTTGTAGCAGAACCTGTATAGGGTTTTTTAAGATGATTTTTTTTAAAAAAAGTTCACTCTCTCTTTACCCATTCACACTTTCATTCAGCAATCTGCTTTTCTAAGGATTCAGATATTCTCTCCTTTGTACCTGCAAAATAGTTACACTTTCATGAATGTTTGTTGATTTTAACTTACAGGATAGTAGAGAAAGTGGTGCACAAACTCATATTGTTAAACTATTTAATTAAAAAAAGACTTTAAGCTGAGTTTCTCATGGTCAGTCTTGCTGGTTAGTATGTCTGCTTTAGTGGGCAGACATAGTCAACAAGTCAACAGTGGAACTCAGTGAATATTTTAACTAGAATTATTGCTTGATGCAGGTATGTTGGTTTGTGTGTGGGCTCTTTCTTTATTTTTTTCCTTTTTTTTTTTGGACCAGCCTTGAGGATTTAAACAGAGAAAATACATTGCTTGCAGTGAAAGAAGCAAAGAAATTATTGCAACTGAAAATAAGGCTCTGCGGGCCTAATGACTTGCTTAACTTTCTAGAAGACTTCTGTTAGTGTAGAAGGTTGATAACTTACCAGGTAATTTCAGTATTCACTGTTTTCTTATCAAAATGTTGGTTAATTCATTTTGATAGGCTGTAGCTACTACTGTATTTCATTCTTCAGCATGTGTGCTGTTAGCCATACATCACATCAGAGGTGTGACTTTTACTTGGGATAGTAGAAGAAGGTTTGGCGAGAGCCGATCTTGACTCTTACGGTGTCTGACTCTGGCCTGAATTTTACTGGAAGCCTGTCAGCTGAAAAACACTAACAGAAACAGTACGATTCAGACTTGTGTTTGATGCTTTTAACTTTGTTGCTGAAGCTGCTCTGTTAGCTTGTCTGAAACAGATAGCAGAGAAAATTATTCCATGTAGGTTTCACAGAATCACAGAATGTCAGGGTTTGGAAGGGACCTCAAAAGATCATCTAGTCCAGCCCCCCTACCAGAGCAGGATCACCTACAGTAGGTCACACAGGAACTCATCCAGGCAGGTTTTGAATGTCTCCAGAGAAGGAGACTCCACAACCTCCCTGGGTTTTTCATAGTGAAAAAGTTTTTGCAAATATTTTTGTGGAACCTCCTATGTTTCAGTTATTTTTACCGCAAAGTTTCATTAGTGCTTCAGGAGAGTAGAGCCTGCTTGTCTTCAGAAATGGATCTTTTAGTGGGTATGATATTGCTTATTAAGATCAGTGAAAATTCTTACCTGTTGATAATTCTGTGGCTGTAAAGAGGGTAGCTGATAAGGTGAGGTCCTCTCCTTGGCTCAAGTTTGATATTACACAGGTGTCAGTGGCTGGGAGGTAACGGTGTCTGTGCACTGGGCTTTCTGGCATTTCCAAGCAAAGAGACTGTTCCATCAGATGGAGACTGTCAGTGCACGCTCATGTCCAGTTTTGACAGCTCCTTGTGGCAGCGTGCATCCGCAGCATGGAAAGTCCTTGAGCAGTCCTAAATCACTGGAGGGATCTTCACCACTGCAGAGTGGGTGCTGTAGAGCAGTCTAGTACCGAAATCTTGTTCTGGTGAAGGAGGCTCTTTCTCGCCTTGTTGTTGGAACTTCCTTACGCTGTGCTTTAAGACATCAGTCGAGGTGGTAAATATTACAGGTGGCTTCTGCTTAATAAAGAAAATGAAATAAAAAGAAATACATGTTATAGCTATGAAGATGGCTCGTATGAATTTACCCCCAAGTGATTTAGAAATATAAGTGTTAATATCCTAGCCTAGCACTGAAGAGATTTAAGAGTGTGGTTTTAAAGGTGACATTCAAATGCTATTTTAAGAGGAGTGATAAATGCTTGTGCTTTCCCTCTTGCCCTCTGCTTTATGCTGTAGAAGGTCCTCTTGACAATGGCTACCAGAAGTGTAATAAATGGGCTGATATTTTCTCCCTAAAACTTGTCTGGGACAAATTGCCTTCAGTTAAAATAACTTGCCCTGGCATTTTGCATCCAAAGTGACTGAAAGTGTCCCTGCTCTGCAGCAAAATGCAAATGTACAAATTTGTAAATCCTCTTTCCTTTGGTCACTGATTAAGGGCATGCTGATATGGGCAAGTACAGTAACTAATAAATTACAACTGTCGACAACAACAAAGATGCAAAAATAGTTATTTGCTATATAGATGGGCTTCCTTAACTATTGTCTTGAAATTTATTTTGAGGTAGAAGATGTTGCATTTAAAACTAGTCTTAAAAAGGAAAGATAAACTAGTAAGCAGACCCAAATAAAATCTCCTGAGTTGTTGCATGGAGAACACAGGAGACGCATTTCAGAACATGCCAACCTTCCCTGTGAAAAAACTTAGCAGGAACTTTTCTGAACCTACTCTGTTACTGCTTTCCCCCCCCTCCTACCGAAGCCCATGTGTCTACCTGGTTAGGTTAGCATTCTGTTATTTAAATTCTTTTACCATTACTAATGCTTCTGAGTGAGTTTTCAAGATGATAGTCCTAGTGGGAACAAAATTTTGGTGTGGTCTTCTAAAGTGCTGTAGTTGCAGTTAGTAGCAAGATTGCTTGCAGATGAATAATGAACTCCAAAGAAAATGTTCCGTGTTATCATCATGAGAAAAATTAGGGTATGGATTGAGAAATCTGCCCTGTTGTAGAAAGAAGCTTTTGAATTTAGTTTTCTTACACAAACTGAGTATTGCTTAAATGGGAAGAAGCATTATGTCTTTCAGTTTTTAACTTCATGAAATTAAGATAAATTGTGTGTTAAAAAACAAATGATTTTTTTTTCCTTCCTAAGTGCTAAATCTGGAGTTCAGTACGTTTTAGAGGGTCATCTCTGTGTGCGTTTGAAAAATCTGTTCTCCGTATAACTACCTTCAGTCTGTCGCAGGCCTCGGTGCTTCTGCTTGCTCATCTGATTACGCAGCTCAAGGGAATAAGGTTAAGGACATGCTGTTGGTAACTAGAGCGTTTTCAGGGCTTTAGTTCGGCAGATGGGCTGCTTGGCTACATTCATACATCTGCCTACCTGCTGTGGCAGCTGCTGCTGCTGCGTGTTATGTTCTTTTGTTCTGTTCCACGCAAGAAAGGAGCACTAGGAAGTGTAGTGAATGGATTAATTTAAGGTTAAGGCTAGTGTTTTGCTTGCTTCCTAACTCTATCATAATAAAGCTTCTGATAAAGCCTAATGAATGCTTCGTAAAGTGAAGTAGATTATTTTTTTTAAGATGTATTTCGGGGGCTGAAACTAGCTAGCATTGTCTAAAAAAGTCAAGCATGTGTTTGGGTTTTTTAAATATGTTACCTGATGTTACTTATTTCAATATCTTCTTCTCTTTCTCCCCCTTCCCCCTCTTTTTCTAGGAGCAGTAACCAGACTTTGCCTGACACTGCGTGGTCCAAAAGAATTAAGGAAATATGGAATGACATGAAGGAGATTAGTTGAGGATTAAAGGCTTTGAGGACAAAACACCTCGCTGAGGTGAAGCACAGACTAGCATTCTAGTTGTAGCTCTGAGGAGCTGTGTGCTGAAAAAAGATGGCAGATCCAGGAATGATGAGTCTGTTTGGAGAAGATGGGAATATTTTCAGTGAAGGGTTGGAAGGTCTTGGAGAGTGTGGATATCCTGAAAATACAGTAAATCCTATGGGGCAGCAAATGCCCATGGATCAAGGATTTCCCTCTTTACAGTCATCTCTTCATCATCCCCCTGCAAATCAAAATCAGGCCAAGCTGACCCATTTTGATCACTATAATCAATACGAACAGCAGAAGATGCACCTGATGGATCAGCCGAACAGGATGATAAGCAGCGCCCCTGGGAACGGTATAGCGTCTCCTCACTCGCAGTATCACAACCCTCCAGTTCCTCAGGTTCCTCACGGCAGTGGTGCCGGCGGTCAGATGGGCGTCTACCCCAGCATGCAGAACGAAAGACACGGGCAACCCTTCGTAGACAGTGGCTCCATGTGGGGCCCCCGGGCGGTTCAAGTGCCAGACCAGGTCAGAGCACCCTACCAGCAGCAACAGCAGCAGCAGCCACAACCCACGCAGCCACCACAGGCACCCTCCGGACCCCCCGGGCAGGGCCATCCTCAGCACATGCAGCAGATGGGAAACTACATGGCTCGTGGGGATTTTTCGATGCAGCAGCACGGTCAGCCACAACAGCAGAGGATGAACCAGTTTTCTCAAGGCCAGGAAGGCCTCAATCAGGGAAACCCTTTCATCGCCACCTCAGGACCCGGCCACTTGTCTCATGTGCCCCAGCAGAATCCCAGTATGGCACCTTCTTTGCGACACTCAGTCCAGCAATTTCACCACCATCCCCCCACTGCTCTCCATGGAGAATCAGTAGCCCACAGTCCCAGATTCTCCCCTAATCCTCCCCAGCAGGGTGCTGTTAGGCCGCAAACACTTAATTTTAGTTCTCGGAGCCAGACGGTACCCTCACCTACTATAAACAACTCAGGGCAGTATTCTCGATATCCTTACAGTAACCTTAATCAGGGATTAGTTAATAATACAGGGATGAATCAGAATTTAGGCCTTACAAATAACACTCCAATGAATCAATCTGTACCAAGATACCCAAATGCTGTCGGATTTCCATCAAACAGTGGTCAAGGACTAATGCACCAGCAACCCATCCACCCTAGTGGCTCACTTAACCAAATGAACACGCAAACTATGCACCCTTCACAGCCTCAGGGAACTTATGCCTCTCCACCTCCCATGTCACCTATGAAAGCAATGAGTAATCCAGCAGGTACACCTCCTCCACAGGTTAGACCTGGCAGTGCTGGAATACCAATGGAAGTTGGCAGTTATCCAAATATACCCCACCCTCAGCCGTCACACCAACCCCCTGGTGCCATGGGAATTGGACAAAGGAATATGGGCCCCCGAAACATGCAGCAGAATCGTCCGTTTATGGGTATGTCTTCGACACCACGGGAGATGGGTGGGCACATGAGACCAAATGGTTGTCCAGGTGTTGGCCTCACGGATCCACAAGCAATACAAGAGCGACTAATATCTGGCCAGCAGCTTCCTGGTCAGCAGCAGTCTTTTCAACAGCAAATGCCGACCTGTCCTCCCATGCAGCCTCATCCAGGGATACATCATCAGTCTTCACCACCCCCGCATCCTCATCATCAGCCTTGGGCACAGCTTCACCAGTCACCACAAAACACACCACAAAAAGTGCCTGTCCTTCAGGTAAGCTACTTCCAACGAGCAGAAAATGTTTCAAATGAACTGTAAGCGCGTTTCAGGATACACAAGATCTGTGGTTTCAAAATAGTTGCTCCTATTTGACTCCCCTATTTGTTACTGTTTACGGGGCTTTCTTGGTGTGCAGCTGCTGAAGTGAAAATGAGATTCAGGTAGCTTGCTAATGTCCTTACAGTAATCTTCCCAGGATAGCGTTATGGATAGGCCAAAATGTGATATAGCGACAGGACGAGCTGCATGCCTGCTTTTTTGTTTTTTTTTACTGTGGTGATTCCTTTGAGGGGAAAATGGAAAACATGTGAGAATTGCCATTTAAACTATTAATTTTTGTATTTGCAATCTGGAGAAAAGTGTGTGTTATAATGCATTTGATTTGGCCAAGCCAAGGGTTTTCTTTAAATCATAAGTGAGTGTTTTGTGGGTTGAAGTTAAAGCTGAAATTTTCACATATCAAAAGATTTCCACGCGTGAAAAGATTTTCCGGGATGAACTTCAACACTAAGTAATGCAACTGAGAAGTGATGGGGCAACAGTTTATGCAAGAAGACATCAGATGTGAATCATAGTCTGAAATCAGATCTTCTGAGGCTTAAATGAAATCTTAAATAGGATGGAAGTTTTATTTCACTGAGTCTCTGGTCTGCTGGATTTTGATGAAAATTTATTGCTTCCACATCACTTTTCAGTTAAAAGCTAAAAGCGATGAAACATCTTGATCCTCTGTAGCTTAGCAGGTTTGACTATATGCTAATACAGTAAACTCCAGGTGAAAAAGTGCCTTTTGAGATCTTCACGTTTCCCAATGCTTGCCTCTGGCTCTCAATCGTCTTTCAAAAGGTTTTGGTACCAAATGAATAGAGTCATCAAGATATTGGAAGTTTAATTTTATTTTCTTTTTTAAACCATCAGTAGTTAATGCCAAGTAGCTCTGCCCGTAAATATTTGGACACAATTGTTGGAATGCAGTCGTCATGATATGATGCTACACTAAGCTTAATAAATCATAAAAACAGCTGTCCTAGCCAGTGTCCGGGGCCTGTGCGGCGAGCAGCTGCTCAGCAGTCGCCTCCGCTGCTGCCTGCCGGCTGCTTCTGTGAGCCGCTCCGCACAGCGTGAGGTGGGTCTGGGAATCAGATGTATGCGCCGCAGAGAGGCAGCTGACAAGGAGTGGTAGATGGAGCAGCTCAGCAGCTGGGAGAGGCTTCAACATTCCCCCTGGAAGAGAGTAGGGGGTTGCACTGGAGGTGCTCTACGGTGGGGACACCCTGGGAGGAAGGTGAGGGACTAAGCTGGGCAAGGGGGAGGACACTGTCTTTTTGGGAGGGCATAAGAAGCTCTCCTTTTGAAAGTTCAAAGGATATCTTCAAGACAGTCTTTCTCCTGACCCCCTCAAAACTGGTGTGAAATTTTATTACCTGTGTTGGCCCTTCCTCTCCCCTCACCTCCTCGCACAGGCTTTATTTGGAGAACCTAAATTACAGTTCTTGCTTGCATGTGGAGTTGTGTATTGCTCCTTGAGAGAGCAGCTCTTGACAATGCCTCTTGTGTTATCAGCTGTGCCAGTAAGCAGGATGAAAAAGGAGAGAACTCAAGACCAAATTAAAAAAAAAAAAACAACCCAAAACAGAACGAGCAGATATTTGGAAAGGGGGTAATGACAGCATGGAGAAATCAGTACGGAAAGACTTCAGGATCAGAAAAGGTAGTACAGGATGTGTTTTTTGCCTTGAAGATGAGAGCTAACACAATTAGCAGAAAAAAAAAATGAAAGAAGATTATAGAAATGCTAACATAAGACTTCTAAGACAGTAAAGGAACAAAACCCAGCGTCACTGGGATCTTTCATAATTGGTGATGGTGGGGGTGGTGGGAATGGAGGACTGAAGATCAACTGTGCCCTAAAGCTGTGGTGTTCTTCACCAGCATTAATTCTGTGTTTTCGTCTGACCATCAAGTAAACCTGTTTTTTGGCAGTGAGGAGGTTTGGGAGCAGAAGGTTTACTTGTAGAATGGACAGGCTTGTTCAGTGTTCTTGGGACATACATTTCCCTTTAGTCAGTCAAGAGCAAAAACAGACGTTTCAATCCTTAAATGAGGATGCAACCTATTACAAAGTTCTGAACTGCAGAGGAATAGCTTGAACAAAGGTAAGTGCTGAAACTGAATACTTGGAGGAAAACCACATGATAACTCAAGTTAATTCAGACAGTTGTAGCTAGCCAAGTAGTGTCTCTCTTAGCCTACTTCTGTTAAGTTTTTATTTGGTAAACGTTATTGTTAACATACCTTCCCATTAACTAATTAGTTTGAGATGTGAGTGTAGTAATGAAACTCTTGACAGGCAGGTATTTCCCCCTTGAAAACTTTGAACGGAATAAATACTGTTGAAGTCAACGAAAACTCACCTCCTCCCCACCCCCTGGGGAAAAATGCAGATGTGCGAAACCCCTGCTCTTACGACTGAGTACGGAATTTGTAGCTCTCCGATCTGTGCCGTGGTTTTCCCTTCATGTCAGTTGGCAGAAAACTGTTCACTGAAGAACAGTTACTGAAATGACTGGTTTGGTTTTATTTGTATAAAATGAATCAACAAAATGAATGTAGTCAGTGAAATGGAAATCACTATGTATGTTTAAATCAACAGAAGCCATCTTAGTAATTATTTTTCAGTGATTTAAAGCTAGCCTTATCATGGGAAAGCTGTAATACTTGTGGTTAACCAAATTACTGTTTTGTTTTTAGATATGTTGGAAGGAAAGTGAGGTTATTTTGCTTTTAACTTGAAAGAAATTGCCATGTCGGTTCTAGGGCTTGTTACTTCTTTTTTGTGTGCAAAACTGCAAATTAATTTGGCTGGGAGATGGAGCTGGTGATTGACAATTCAGCTGGTTCAGATTAATAGCTGAAAGCTAGTAGGCAAGGTTATTAAGACCTTTTTAGTAGTGACTTGCTAGCTTTAATGGAGCTTGATAGATTCGTAAAAACCACCGTAGCATTGGGAAATTCAGTCAGTGTGCTTGGTTTGTTCAAGTTCTCTTCTGAAATGTGCTTCCCCAAAGGCTTTTGAAAGAGCTTGGTGGCCATGAGGTGGGAAGGGGACTTCTGCTGTGGCCGAGTAATTGGCCAAGGTGCAAAGCAGAGGGCAGGAGTAGGGCTTGTTTTCAGAGTGGAGGCATCTGTGTTTAGCTTATGAGCTTGTGCTCTCCAAAATACTCATAAATGATCTGGAAAAGACTGAAAAGTCAGATGGCAGAGTTTGCTGCTGCTGCTGACATACACAAAGCTGAGTGCCAAGTGCAGACGTGTGAAGAGCTAATTAGAAATACAACAGGAACCTCAATTGCTTGGCCATAAGTTGTGTGAGTCAAGGTGTGGTCTAGGGAGGTTTAGATTAGATATTAGGAAAAATTTCTTTACAGAAAGAGTTGTCAGGCTTTGCAACAGGCTGCCCTGGGAAGTCACCACCCATGGAGGTATTTAAAAGACGTGTTGATGTGGTACTCAGGCATGGGGGTGTAGGACTTAGGAGTGTTGAGTTAATTGTTGTACTCAATGATCGTATAGGTCTTTTTCAACCAAAACAATTTCATGATTCTATGACCTCGGCAATGAAGCACCAGGCAGGTAAAACTCTTACCTTTGGAACAGGGTCTGGATGTTAGATGGCTACCTGAAAATGTGCTATGACAGTCAAAGAAAGAAAATTATAGGAATTTTTATGGAAGTAGTAGAAAGCAAACCAGATTATCATGTTGCTGTATGTATGCATGTTATGCCAGTGTTCCAAGTGCTTCGTAACTCTGTGTCCCTTCCTCAGGCTTCAGAAAATGCAGTAGCACTTGGAAAAGCAGAGGCAAGTGATTTAGGGGGCAAGGGAAGGCAAAAGATGGTGAAAGCCTCTAAAATTGTGAGTGATCTGTGTGCATGAAGAAGGTGATTGTGCAAGAAGTTTTGAGGGTTTTTTTGACTCCTTGAATTCTTTTAAGATATTCAGGAAATTATCAGGTGGTAAGCTCAGAACCACATGTTAAGATGATGATCTCTGAGATGTGCAGAAAAATACCTCATCATTTGATAAACATGAAGGCACAATATTTGGCTCAGCAGATCTATGCTGTAAATAAGGAGCTGAGAGTTTGTTATTGGAGTGCATGTACTGTATGTGTGTCCTGTTCTTGTGCTCTTCCACAGACCTTACTAGAGAAGGGTTATCAGGTTGGACAGGCCTCTGGGAGTCTAATGCTATGCAGTTGCTCTGTTATTTTCAGAGAATTTTGTTAGTGATAGAGCAAGTGTAGGTGTTTCTCTGCCAAGAATAGGCTGTCCTGGATATGTTGTTATACAGAACTTTTATTTACCAACAGCTACTGTGTGGGCTGAAGTTTCGAGTCCTTTTCATTGATCGTGTTCCACAAATGTGTTCTCCCTTATTTGCAGACACGCGCAGGAATACTTAAAAACCAAACAGTTACGTTATAGCATCCATGCTGAACTAAATGGCAGAGCTCAATAGCGAGCATCAGCAACGCTGAAGGACGCTGAGTTGCGGTGTCCAGCTTTTTGTGGAGAAGGAATTTGTTTTGTGTGTGTTACCGGTTCACTGCCAGGTTTAATCTGTTGGCCTTACTATCTGTGGGCATGTGACTTTGCTTTAAATCATAACTCATGGCTGTGTTTGGTATGAACACATTCTTTTGAAATTTCCTGCCCTCCCTTGCAGGGGAAGAGGCAGGGAAAGTCCTGCTGAGTCACCAGCTGGGTCACCCCTCTCACAGGCCCTTCCTGCATTTTCAAACCCTGTGTTGCTGCCTCGGTTTGATTTATGCTCAGATATACCTGAATGACAAGGGGTATAACTGAAAACTACCATCAGCTGGAGTAGTTTGTCATAATATTCTAACATGGCAGAGGGTGCAGGTTAAGTCAGTTACTGCAGGCACACTAAAATGAAACTGGCTCTCCTGCGTGTGTCAATTGCTTTAATG